CACTGAGTGGTCCTGAAGTTATTTCTGTCTCTCTTGTTCCTGCTAGGCTATTAAAACCAATTTTCAGATTTGTTAGACTTAAAATAATCACAGAAAAATGTGGCTTTTATACTCATTTATCTTTCTGGGTTTCTATTTTTCTATCATTATCATCCTGTTAATTCCTTACTGCCATGTCAGCTCTTTGAAAGCTTTTAAGATGATTTATTTTTAACACCAGTTTTTAAGCTGTTTTTAGTGGAATAGTTGGTCCAAATAATCTAGCTCACCATTACAGGAAACTGGACATCTTCAATGCCTTTCTTGGCACACAATAGGCACTCAATAAATGATGGGTGAATTAGTTAAATTATCATAATTTCCCAAATATACTCTGTATTTTTTTGCCTATCTGCATTTGTAAAAGCTCTTTCCTCCTCTTAGAATGTATTATCATTCTCCATCTCCAACCTCAGATGCCCACATTCTAGCATTTGACAAGGCTCAGAACAAATGCCACCTCCCTCTCTCCCCCAATATTTTTCCAGCTTTCCATACTTTCTAAAATTTGAATCCTATCTCTTCTCCATGTAAACCTTTATAGCGTATAATCTGTATCATTCTCTGGGTATTGAATCATATAGAAATGTATTTATGCACATATTTATCTCTCCTGTAGAGTTATACTTCTTTGTCATTTCTGGCTGGTAAGGAATTCTCTCACTTCCTTTCCAGCTCAGCATACAGTATAAACAGATTTTTTAAAGCTATTGCATTCAGTACTTTTAGGGTGGATATACTGGGCAAGGTTTCTATGAACACTAAGTCTGCCATATTGTTGGAAATAGAAGATATAATTTAGTTCATCCTAATAAACCCTTCAATTTGCACAGCACTTAGAGTTAGTGAGGTGCTCTCACATACATGAGTTTATGTAAAACTTCAACAGCTCTTGACTTCAGTGTTGCTATTACCATGCTACAGCTGAGAAATGAAGGGCAAGAGAGACTAAATAATATGCCAGAATAGAGCCACAAAGCCAGAAATGGAACCAAGTCTTTTCTTGTCAAGACCAGGGCTCATTCCAGGACACCACTGTTGCTTCCCCATATTATCTATGCTGTTAGTCATTGCTATCACAGTCACAACCAGAACTCTTTGAAAGCAGACATTCTGTCTGTGAAAGGTGCCTCTGTCCTGCAGCATCTATGTCACAGGCAGTAGATAGAGGGGTTGCTATGTGAGGCCGTCCACACAATACCACTCAAACGAAGGTTTTCCGCATCTCAGTCCTCCTTACCTCACAACCTTGGTTCCATTTCTCATGACTTGCGTGTCCACCATACAGCCCCCAGTAACATAGGCAGCTAGGTTCAACTCTGCGAATTCAGCCTGAAGGAAGAACCAAAACAAAAAAGAATTCATTAGCTAATAATGCTGATAATAATCACTAACATTTTTTTGTATTTACATGTACTAACGGCAAATTTAAACTGCAGCTCAAACTTAGGAAGTTGGTAATACTATTATATCCCTTTCTGAAAAATGAGTATGCTGAGGTTTGGAGAAGTACAGGAACATGTCCAAGGGTACATGATTAATAAAAGGCAAAACTGGGATTGAGACCGAGACACAGATGTCTCTGATTCAAGGGCTCATGGTTTTAACTACTATTAATTTCTGCCTCCTCAAAGGAAGAAAAAGTAACTATAGCTCCATGACTATAAGATACTGAATGATGTTCAGTACATTTTCCCTAGAGTTCTTCAGCTTCATGCTAAGCAGAGGTATGGCATCACAGCTATGTGATTACTTATCTCTGGTAAGGGACTCCTGCTCAAGTGATCTGCCCAATATCCCTTTTTGTGCCAATGGTACCTCTCCTAACTCCATCCATAAGGTTGTAGTAGAAGCACCATGTCTGTGCATTAACATACTGTCCTCCCCCCCACCCCGGTCACAGTTGATGGGGTAGGCAACTGACTCAGGGTGGAGGAATCAGATGCCCTTCCCTGAGAATTTGAAACTGGAACTGAGAGATACATGTAGTTTCTTTCTAAAAAATCAATTGCTATCAAGTCAGCTCTGACCCATGGCAACCCTATATGTGTTAGAATAGAATTGTGCTCCACACGGTTTTCAAGGGATGACTTTTTGGAAGTAGATTACCAGGACTTTCTTCCACGGTACCTCTGGGTGGACCTGAACCTCCAATCTTTCATTTAGCAACTAAGGGCTTAACTCTTTGCACCACCCAGGGACTTCTAGTTTCTTTCTAGGTAGA